TCAGATATTGTCCAAGATTAACCTTCAGGGTGGATATAGCTCGCTCACACGGGGGACCTATCCACATCATCATTTACCCAGAATGCTTTGTGTGTAAATAAAATGGCTCCATCCATGTTAAAATATATTTTTAAAGATTTACAAAATTAAACAGACTACATTATTTTTACAGTCCTTATTTTACAGTAAAAATAAATATTTATCAAATAAAGTCTAATGTTACAACTAATCAGGGACCCTTTAAATTTAGACTAACACAGCAGGTAATAAGCATTCCATCAACGATTGCTAGGTCTTTAATTGAACCATAAATTTATTATTATTCTTATTGCCTAACTCATCTTTTTATTTTTATTTCAATTTTTTTCCTTAGGATGGTGGGATGCACTCCCTTCCTGGTGGTGTCRTACTTCTACCTGTGGTTCGTTCCTCCTTTCATCACCGGCAGGTTCATCTGGTACCTGGGCTTCTACTGCCTCTACCAGACCCTCATCACTGTGAGTATGCTCCCGGATCGGGACATTTGTGGGGGTTTCACGATGCGCCGCACAACTCAGCAGGATTTTCTGAGCAGTACATGAAAGAACGGACACGGGAAGTGAATGCCCTGCCTGATGCGACTCATCAGAGGACCAAGTTGTGAACAGCTGTGTTTGAGGTGGAGATGATTGGACGGGTTGAATTGCTTGATGAGCAGCAAATTAGACACCCAGAAATGTTTAGATGCCTTCACCTCAGAGGGGAAGTGGAGTTATTTAGGCTGCCTTTTCTCATTATGGTCCAAACCATTATTTTCCTCTCTGCTCTGGGATAAGCCATATAACATGTGCTCCAGAGCCACAGCCACACTGCACACATATAGTTCTAAGTAGTTGATAAGTATACAGTCAGTTCTGCCAGAAACCTCTTGCTCCGTAAATGCTGGTTGCCACTTTTAGCCGCCCTTCATTGTTTCTGGCTGTGTTTGTGTGAAGTTCAGCTGTAATTAGTCAGATTGTTCGTAAACAAATGCTAGAATACGAAGTTTTGCCTATTTACGTCATCAAATAATGACGGGTTTCCATCAGATTAATCACTTCTCACCTCTGTCTCTATCCAACATCGAAGCCGGTTTGGTTCTATAAATGTTTGCATCCAGTAAGAGGCCCATAAATGACATGCTGTACAGGAGCGAAATCCTTTCACGGCCGCATTTATTTTGGTTGTGGCTGAGCACGCTCATTTGGCCGCAGCGCTGACTGAGCCCCTGTGTAAATTACAAAGTGAAGCTTGGACTATGGTTGCTCGGCTATTCTCTAGGAGAGGTGGTGGCGAGGAGGGAGGGGAAAAAAAAAAGGATCTGAGGCTGGCCCAGCATGGAAAATGCAGAGATTGCTTTTGATAAATATACAGTGTGCATTTTCACCGGAACGTGCGGATAAAATGCTTCCAGGCTTTTGATCGCGAGGCTAGTTTACATTTATATGCGGCTATGTTAAGCTGGACTTCAGCTTGAAATGTTTGTAAGTTCAAAACTCAAGTGTGGACAGGATTCTTCTAATTAAAACTGTTCAAAGTTCGTAGTTTAATTCTTTTATTTGCAGTTTATTTAGGATTTTCTCCAAGGTCTTCGTTTTCCTCAAACACTTAAAAAACATAGATTTT